CCAAGCCGAGGATGAGAAGGTCGATGTGGCGGCGTTAGCTGAGCTGATGGATGATTTGAGCTGGCGCATAGAGCCTTTGCCCCGGATCCTTATGAGGAACCTCTGTGCGTGCGATTTCGATGCCACGGATGCAGGCATCGCTTTGATCGCCAGACGCATGTATGCAGGCACGGCTTCTAGCAAAGACACTCTGGAGTCTTGCTTCAACTGGATGAACCGTCAAGTTGGGTACATGTGCACCAACCAGAAAACATCAGACGCCATGAAATGGTTTCTTGCAAGCCTGAATCCTTACGGGGTAGCAGCCGGTGCGGATGGCATCCTACCGAGCGAGAATGACTGGTGGACGTGCTGGCAGTCGCCAGCGGGGAGGTCCACCATGTCTGCAGAGTTCAGCGCGAAGATTTTCGATGTCAACTCCACGAAACTCCCAGAGCTTCCAGATGCTGAGGCTCCACAGACACCCAAGCCGTTTCCCACACCAAGGGAGCTTGCCGACATGTCATGGAAAGCAGCAGGTAGTGCAGCGCGACAGCGTGCGGTTGCCGCAGCAGCGTTCCTGCTGAAAGAAGTGGAGACGCAATGGGAGAACCTGCCGAAGGCGTGGGCAGGCCTGGCACGTATAAGTCGGCCTCATTTGTTTGTTCTGTTGGGCTTTGTTGTGTCGCAACAGCGATTTCCTGAAACAGGATGTTTGTTCCAGCACGGCCATGTCTACTTTGAGACGGAGACGAAGCGGTACTATATGTCCCTGGGTTTTGTGAAATACACGTGTGCGGCCATTCCTTTGTCTACGTGCAGTGTAGATTCGCGCGTGCCCCACCTGCATCTAACTTTCGACAGCTGATGCAGCATGCCACTTAGAGCTCACGAATGCGTTTGCGCAGGACTTCGTGTACTTGGATGCACAGTCCATCCAGCAGAATCTGCAGACGGTGTTCTTGTTCAACTTCTCTTGCTCCGACACGATGGCTGACGAGCAATTTTTGCATGTGCCAGTGCGCTTGGTGCCAAGGTGTTGCTTGGGGGGCGAGGTCGGACACCTCGCCTCTGCGTATGAAGTTTATGGCCCCATGGAGACCATGTTGCGAGCTGCGGTCAGAGACGGTTTGCTCCTGACCAACCCGCAATTGAATGCAGTGATCGGAGCCCTTGGGCTTCCGGGCCCTGAAAAGAAAACTGGGAGTGGGACAAATCGGAACATTGTCAAGACAGATCTCTGTCAGTACATTATTGCACATCTGTTTCCGAGCGCAGATGAGAACGAGAAGCGTCGGATGCTGAGCGGGATGCTCGGAACCTCCAAGGCCAAGTGGAAAGATCAGGAAGCATCCGTGGTAAAGATGGTCGCGCAGCTCGACCCAGACAACGCCAAGGAATTCGAGCCGCTTGTGCGCCACGCAAAAACTCGAATTGAGCAGAAACTGCGAGAGGAAGGCGAGGCAAACGCAGAACAAAAGTTACAGGACACGTTGAAAGAGCACCTCGAAACGGCAAAAGCCAAGTGGAAAGCAGAAATGGCAGATGTAGCCAACAAGCCTTCTCCAGCAGACGCATCCTCCTTGAATGCTCCCCGGGCACCCGCCACGCCAGCGCCCCACCTCCGTGCTGAGCCTGCCGAGCCCAGACGGACAGGTGTGACCCCCCCCGATTTCAAATCGCTTTTGCCTGGCAAGGGCACCCTCGTTGGTGAAATGTTTGGGAAGCACAACGGGGACAAAAGGTTCTACAAAGTAGAATACAAATGTTTCTTGCCTGCAATACTGGGACGAAGGGAGTTTGGTCGTCCAGAGTCTAGGTAGTAGACACGCCGTCTGTCATGCACACTCTTTCGAGATGCGCTTAGGCGAATCAGAGCTGCAGCAGTCCATCCAAAGATCTTGGCCGACGCATAATTGCCCAGACGAGGAAGAAGCGATAAGACAGGTGCTGAAATGGACATTCGACCGCTACAACAAGCTTCATCCAGACAAGGTTGAAACCATGCACCTTGGTTTTCACAATCGTGGGCCCTGTTTCCCTTGACTTGAAGCCTTGCATCGTATGTTCGCGGCTGGAGTTCAGAAGGATTCCGTGTTTTGTTCCGAGGCCAACCCGTGACGAGATCCGCCAGTTCATCGAAAACAAAAGCGGAGCTGCAAGCTAGCTTCGCATCGTTTCACTACTGCAGCAGCCGTAGCCACATGATGATGGAGCTCAAGTCGGGTGTGAAAGTTTTAACTTCAGTGAGCTGTCGCGAAACGCCTGAGTCCTTAAGTTAAGAGCCCCAGAACGGTACCACGTGAAGCGTGGACGCCAACGCTCCATCCAGTTTCACAGCAAAGCTAGCAGCAGTCCGGCACGCAAAGTTCCAACTCAGCAGCCCGCAAGCCCAAACCCCCTCAAGCCCTAAAGTTTACCCTCCAAGCCCTAGCAACCGAAGCCTGTAGTAAGCCCGATCCCTTGACTAGATAGAGCCGAATTGTGTCGGACCCGAAAGCTGCGCTGTCAAGTCCGACAGATCCAAAGCACAACACGTGCCCGCAAAATCCGTGAGCAGGCGCCGGGTAGCTCTCGGGTAGGGTTCTACAGTTCAGGGTCGTAAAGTTTTAAATGTGGGTGTTTAGGGTTTAGTTTAGGGTTTAGGGGTTTAGGGGTTTAGGGTTTAGGGGTTTAGGGGTTTAGGGTTTAGGCTTTAGGGGTTTATGGTTTAGAAGTTGTGTTTAGGGGTTTAGGGTTTAGAAGTTTAGTGTTTAGGGGTTTAGGGTTTAGGGGTTTGGAGTTACGCACGGAGGTTATGTTGCCATAGGTGTTGATCGCGATTGGCGGCTGCAGTGCCATTGCTTCAATGTTTCATCGTTACAAGCGCATCAGTAAGAGAAGGCAAATCACTCCGATAATGCTAAAACTACTAGCTTTGTGTGTTAAGCTTTAGTAAAGCCTATTAGACCTTATTAGGCCTTGCGTTGGAAGGGGGGGTGCTGGCGGGGGGGGTGTTCATGCTAGCCATGATTCAGGGTTTAGGGATAAACTCTGCAGGTTCTGGCCTGTATGGGTAGATCTCTAAATTAGGGCCGCTCTTTGGGTCCCGAATACAGTACGGCACCCTTATAAGAACGGACTGTAAAACCACCCTAATTGGGAGAACTACCCAGATCATAAAGAAGCTAGCGAAACCCTAAACCCCTATAAGAAGAGTTCTATAATACGAGCTTCTAGTAGAGTTCTACAAAGGCTTTGCATGAAGTGTCTCGGGAATGAGGTTTAGGAGATCAAGCTTCAGGGAGTTCAGGGTTCAAGTTCTAGGGTTTAGGGTTTAAGGGTTTAGGGTTTACGGTTTTCAGGGTTTAGGCTTTAGGGTTGTAGGGTTTAAGGCTTTAGGGGTTTTTAGGGTTCACGGTTTAAGGGTTGAGGGGTTTAGGGTTTAGGGCTTTACGGGTTTAAGGTTTAGGGATTTAGGGCTTCGGGGTTTAGGGTTTTTCAGGGTTTTTAGGGTTGTAGGGTTTAGGGTCGGGCCTCATCGCGTCATTGTCGAGTGTCGGCCCGATTCAAGATGGATTGAGGCTTAGGGTTTAGTGTTTAGGGTCCAGGGTTTAGGACGTTAGGACTTTAGGACTTCAGGGTTTAGGGTTTAGGGTTTAGGGTTTAGGGTTTAGGGTTTAGGAGCGAGTAGAGGTTTGTAATTATAGGGGCCTTAAAAATAGCAATAGGGTTCCCTTTTAAGGGGGTCTATAAGGGCTACTATAAGGGAGCTATAGAGGTACTACAATATAGGGGCCTTAATAATTAGAATAGGGTTTTGGGGGCCACTATACTATATTTATAATAAGGAACCCCCCAAATAGTATAGGTAACTATTAAGACCCTATATGATGTGGCCTCATGCAGGGCTACACCTGTTGCAGCAAATTCTCAAGGAGACTGTGCATTGGCACAACCCACAACCCACCAATACTTTCAACACATTCCATGCTTGGACCTTGTCATTCCAGAAGAACCAAACATAAGCCAAAGCACTGAACCTTCCACACCGTGGGGGGGGGCAGCCATTAGCTAGCCATGGTGCTTTCAACCCTAAAACCCTCAAGCCCTAAACCCTGAACCCCTCAACCCTAAACCCCAGAACCTTAAACCCTCAACCCTTGACCCTAACTCCAAACGATAGAACTCTCAACCCGAAACCCTGAAACCCCAACCCTAACTGGAGGCTAAACCCAAAAACCCATGACCACATCATCGCTCTTGAACTGCCCAGACAATCAAAAATCTCTTAATTAAGGAATATACCTTAAGTCATAGTAGGCACCCTAATAAAATTTCAGGTGTAATCGGTGAATAAGGAATGTACCCTTAGATTGTGGGAGAAACCCCTCGTATGATTTGGGGCATGTTCCTTAGTTGAAGAGTATACTGCAAAATATGATGCAAACCCTCATGAAAGTTCAGGTATGCTCCTTACACGATATATGGAAATCAGAACAGGGAACCCCCACAGGGAAGGTTTTATAGGTTCCAGCTAATTATTCCGTAATATACCATAATATACTTGAAAATACCGTAATACACTGTACTATACAAGAATATACCTTGGATAGAATTAAAAAACCCTAAACCAAACCTACACCCTACACCCTACACCCTACACCCTAAACCCTAAACCCTACACCCTAAACCCTAAACCCAAAAATTCCGGGATTTGGGAAGGTGTCTGGATGCTCTGAGGCCGCAGCGCTCTCCACATGGGGCTTCAACCAGGACGTGGCCCGGCCTGAAGACGAAAGAATCTAAGTGGGGTTTGGGGTTTGGGGTTTGGGGTTTAGGGTTTAGGGTTTGGGGCTTAGGGTTTGGGGTTTAGGGCTCAGGGTTTGGGGTTTAGGGTTTAGGGGTTTAGGGTTTAGTGTTGAAACCATGGGCCCCCAGTATGGGCCCTTAACCCTGGGACCCTTATACACCTACTATATACCCTATATGTACCCCTAAGGGCCCCTAGAAAGGCCTAAGGGTCCCATATTAGGGGCCCT